GTCTATATATTTTTAATCCTGTAGCTCAGATAGTCTAGGTCAGTGGTCGGTAAACCGCGGCTCACGAGCCACATGCGGCTCTTTGGCCCTTTGAGTGTGGCTCTTCCACAAAATACCACATGCGGGCACGCACGCACGTACAGTGTGATTGAAACTTCGTGGCCCATGTGCAGAAGTCGGTTTTTGGAAAGGAGATAGACGAAACAAGTATACAAGACGAGTGTGGATGGGAGAGTTGGAAGGGGTTGACCTCAGCGAACGTACCTCAATCAGATTGAGGACGTTTTTAGCAAAGGCCAGCTTAGGAGTACCCTAATTAAGTTAATAACAATGTACCTAACTATATAGTTTAAGTTTAAAAAATTTGGCTCTCAAAAGAAATTTCAGTCGTTGCACTGTTGATATTTGGCTCTGTTGACTATTGAGTTTGCCGACCACTGGTCTAGGTGACAGCTGTCAAGGAATTAGACTATGTCAAGGTTTCAAAGTCATCTGACCTACTTGTCATCTGAATTACTTTCAGCCATTTTTTTGTTTCTCTACTTCATATTGGCTAGTGTATCTAGAAGGCTGATCCAGGGGAACTTACATGTGAGATGAGGTGGGGGCCAGACCATACAGGGCATATAGATCCTGGTCTTTATTGTAAAATCAACAAGGGATATGGTTTAACAAATTAAAAGGCATATACAATAATTAAACAGTTTACTTGGTGGCTAGGGAAGTGTAGAGATGGATAGTAGATGATTCAGGAAATATTTAGGAGATAAAATTGATAAGAAATGTTTTGGATGGGAGAAGGATAAGAGAAGGGCAGTTTCAGTTCTGGATTTCTAGCTTGAAAAAGCAGATGGTTAGCGGTGTCACGGGGGTGGGGGGGCTTTTAAGGAGTAAATAAGGAGGAAGCAGATCTTGAATAGTTTTTGTGCCTTCAAGGCATCCACAAAGAGATCTAAAATAGGCGATTAGGGCTAGGGCTGAAAAGAGATCTGGGCTGGTGATGTCAATTGTGCATCATTTGTATACAGGTAACAGTTGAAGCCCTGAGAATAGATGAGGTCATCTTGAAAGAGTACAGCAAGAAGAGCACATAGCTTAGAAAAAGGTCACAACAAAAAGAGGTCATTAAAAGAGTTGTTTCACAGAGAGGGAATGCAGTTTAACCAGTGTTTTCAGATTTACCGCAGGGATAAGGAACTTCTGGGATTTCAGCTTTAGTCTTAATTTCATATGGTATACTTGTCAAGTACCAAAAGTGTATTGTCATATGGTACTATTTGCAAAATTGACACTTAGTAACTAAAAGGCTACAACACCATCACTTTCTGTGATCATCATTGAATTACTTTTAGCCATTTTGTTTCTCTACTTTCCAGACTGATTGTCAAAGTCAGTGTAGAGTGGACTGTGTATTTTAAAATCTCTGCATGTAGTTCTATCTTACAAGGTCTATGACTGAATAGAAATGGTATATTTATTTAAAACCAATCTATACCTTACTTCTATTTTTTTACTTTTGACTTAACATTTGTATGCCTTATTCCCCCGCCCCACACGCCCAAGTAAAAATCAATGACATACAAACCAAAAAGGTTTTTCTATACAAGTTAGAGTTTTTTCCTGTATTTTCACTTTTGTATCCCTATTCATTGTCTAGTATGTGGCTTGCATATAATAGGTGTTTAATAAGTTGTTTCTGAATTGTTGATTTAAGAGTTAAAACCTGATTTTAATATATGTATTTTCTTTCGTTTTCTTAGGATGGCTGGCTGTGGTGAAATTGATCACTCAGTAAACATGCTTCCTACGAACAGGAAAGCGAATGAATCCTGTGCTAATACTGCACCTTCTCTAACTGTCCCTGAATGTGCCATTTGTCTGCAAACATGTGTTCACCCAGTCAGTCTGCCTTGTAAGCATGTTTTCTGCTATCTATGTGTAAAGGGAGCTTCATGGCTTGGAAAGCGATGTGCCCTCTGTCGACAAGAAATTCCCGAGGATTTTCTTGACAAGCCAACCTTATTGTCACCAGAAGAACTCAAGGCAGCAAGTAGAGGAAATGGTGAATACGCATGGTATTATGAAGGAAGAAACGGGTGGTGGCAGTATGATGAACGCACGAGTAGGGAGCTGGAAGATGCTTTTTCCAAAGGTAAAAAGAGCACTGAAATGTTAATTGCCGGGTTTCTGTATGTTGCTGATCTTGAAAATATGGTTCAATATAGGCGAAATGAACATGGACGTCGCAGGAAGATGAAGCGGGACATAATAGATATACCAAAGAAGGGAGTAGCCGGACTTAGGCTGGACTGTGATGCTAATACCGTAAACCTAGCAAGAGAGAGCTCTGCCGATGGAGCGGACAGTGTATCAGCACAGAGTGGAGCTTCAGTTCAGCCTCTAGTGTCTTCGTCTGTGAGGCCCCTGACGTCAGTAGATGGTCAGTTAACGAGCCCTGTGACACCATCCCCTGATGCAAGCACTTCTCTGGAAGACTCTTTTGCTCATTTACAACTCGGTGGAGACAGCCTGGCAGAAAGGAGTCATAGGGGGGAAGGAGAAGAAGATCGTGAATTACCATCCTCAGGCAGGGTACCGGCACCAGACACCTCCATTGAAGAAACTGAATCAGATGCCAGTAGTGATAGTGAGGATGTGTCAGCGCTTGTTGCACAACACTCCTTGACCCAACAGAGACTTTTGGTTCCTAATGCAAACCAGACAGTACCTGATCGATCAGATCGATCAATAACTGATGGATCTCTAGCAGGGGGTGGAACAGTGAGTGCCAGTGTCAGATCTAGAAGGCCTGATGGACAGTGCACAGTAACTGAAGTTTAAATAAAAGTCTTCAGCTCCATGCTCAAGGTTAAAATGGTTATCTGTAAATTTCTGCCCACATAACATTATACTCATCCCTAGTAGTACATTTTTGGGAGTTGGGGTGGGAAGGGGTATAGGAAGGATAGACCTATAATTAAAACGTCCAGTCTAACATGTCTCTGTTGAGAAATTTATTTAAGGAACTTGGGTGTTAATAGTTGAAAGCTGTTTAGTAATAACCCAGTTTTCTTGAAGTCTGTTTATTTCATAGTTTTAAAATATTCCGTTCTTTTGGCCGGCGTGTATGTATTATCTGTGCATTAATGGTCCCATCTGACTTTTGCATTTTGTCTTACTTTCCTGCATGGATTGACATAAAGCCATTACTAAAATTTGGCACCTATGAGATGTCTGGTATCAGTTTTAACAGGAAGCTTAATTAATGTGAGAATACATGTGAATTTGGGGTTTTAAAATAGACAAAAACTATTTAATAGTAAAGTTACTGAAATGGAAATGTAAAGAAAACACCTAATTTATGTTTCATAATCTTGTCTGTAACATATTCACGGCGTTCCCATAGACTTTGCTGTCTAGTCCTTGTAGTTTGAAGTTTCTCTTGATCGTTTTCTTTTTGGTTACAAAATTTATAATTTAATAAATACTAGAATTTATCAAAAATCATTTGTCTCTTGCTTGAGTCTGGAAAGAGGATGTTAACATTTTGACATTTGTAACCAAAGGTCTATCAAAACGTGGTTTCAATTACTGGTATTCAGCTTAAAGGAGTCACCTGCTCAGAAAAGTCTGATTTTTTTTTCATAGAGAGTATTTAAACAGAATCTGCAGGGAATGTGCATGGAATAAATACATATGGAAATAGACCTAAAGCCTGTGAGACAAATTTCTTCAATAACTGGTAGTAGAGACCATACGTATTTTAGATTTTTCTTGCCAGTCTTCATTAGTGGTCTGATACTCATCTGAATTAAATGGTAGGCTTACCAGTATTGGTAGACACAAACTACTTTTACACAAAATGTTGTAGAACCTGTGACAAGGTAGGAAATACTGGGTTCACTTGGTAATCCAGAGTTTGGTTCTGCAAAAAAGTAATGTAAGTTTATCTTACTACATTTTCCTCGCTCAAAACAGTAGGATCATGTTGATGAAGCATGTGTAAGTTATTTTAAATAATTTTAAAATGTGAATTGAATTTTACAAATAGCAAATAAAAACTGTCACTACTTTGAAATAATCTTTTACCTCTTACAATGTTAGAATTGGGACTACTTCAATTTAATATGTTTTTTAAAGTCTGCTAGTGAGATAATCATGACTTTTGAGTTGTGTACTTTTATTAAATTTAGTTATAAAAGAAGAAAGGCTACTTTTCCAGAAAAAAATAGAAATCTGATGTAAAACGCAAATGTAGGTTACAAAATGCTTCTGAGTCCTTTGAAGTCTTAGGCAGTTTTGATCTAAAGTTAGATTTATGACATAAACGAGTAAATTCCAGGGCACACAAATTTCATTAAGTATTTTATTTTTGTAAATTATTTCCAGGTAAGACAGAATAAAGACTTATGAAAAATAACACCATGAATAGGTTTTGTGTAGTTTTTCCTTTTAAAAACTGGTCTTTGATTATAGGCTAAGAACCATTAAGGGAACTGGGAAATTGGTAATAATTTTTAAGCCGAAAGTATGCAGGTTTACTTGGTAAATACCCAAATACAGTAGTTTCCTCCCCCATCTGTGCTTTCACTTTCTGAGTTTTCAGCTATCCAGTTAACTGCAGTCTGAAAATATTAAATGGAAAATTCCAGAAATAAACCATACGTTTTAAATTGCACGTTGTTCTTGGTGCGATGAAATCTCACACTGTCCTGATCATCCTGCCCAATTTGAATCCTTTTGTCCAGCATATCTGCACTGTATGCTCCACCTGCCTGTTGGTCTCTTAGTAGCCATCTCAGTTATCAGAATCACAGGATCCCAGTGCTGGTGTTCAAGAAAACCTTATTTTACTTAATAATGGCCCCAAAGTGCCAGAACAGTGATGCTGGCAATTTGGATATGCCAAAGAGAGGCAATGAAGTGCTTCACATAGTGCAAAGGTGAGTATTGTACAATAAAATATTCTGAAAAAGAGACCACATTCACATAACTTATTATAGTATATTATTGTTATTTATTAGTTATTGTGCCTAATTTATAAATTAAATTTTATCACAGGTATTTAAGCATCACAGGATTCAGTACTATCCAGTGTCAGGCATCCACTGGGGGTCAAGGAACCTATTTCCTGCAGGTAAGGGGGGACTACAGTATACTGAAAGCCATGCCAATGAGTTTAGGTATTAAAAAAATGATTAAAAACAAACCCAAATACTAGTGATACCTTCAAAGTAACTGACATGTTTAATATTTAACTTTTCTACACATTAAATTGGAGTTGTAGTACACCTATTTAAAAGCAACTATTTACAAAATTTTCCTCTCCTAGCAATAGCCTCCAAATTTGCCGGTCCACCCCAAAGTGTTCCTACAAGATCTCTTTCGGTCTGTAACGCCTCCTGGAAACAAAGCTCTTTGCCTGAAGAAACAGTTTTTTTCAAAGCTCTGATTACTTCCGGTGGCCCTTTGATAAACTGATTCAGCCATTCTTGTGCCTCTTTTAGACACTCAGTTTCATCTGAAGACTGCAAGACCTCATCGACCATTCCTAGGCTTAAAGCTAGTTTTGAGTCCAGTTTGAGGGCCCCACTTAACACTTTGAGAGCTTGTTTACTGCCAATTATATCAGCCAGTCGGGTAGCCCCGCCCCAGCTTGGTATTATACCCATCTCCTTGTGAACAAATCTGATCTCACTCTCTCTAGTCATTAATCTGCAAAAGAGAAAAAAAAAACTTAATTGTAATTATGTATACTTTAATCATAAAGTACCGCCTATTCATGATCTGATCTGAAATCTCCATATCTCTTTATAGATATATTAAAAACAATGTTCAAAACATCTGGCTAAGTATAGAATTCAATTTATACACAGTAGTTAACACTTCCCTTTGAAAACTGTCAACATTTTTGTTGTGCTTGCTTATCGTTTACTTTGCAAATAAGAATCTAATGTTTATGTTAAGTTCTAAAAGCCCAAAGTGTATCAGTAAAGTGGTAGCCTAATGAGAAAACCTAGGTTAAGTGAAAATATGGGAGTTGGAAATGTTAGGTGGATACCATGGGTAAAAATGCATGGTTCGGGTCAATAGTCCTTAGGAAAAGAAAAATTGTTTGACCCAGCATCTATCCAGTCTCCCAGCAAATATGTACTAAGCACTACTAATGCCAGTTTACATTCCTGTTAGAGAAAGGCAATGAATGATATGTCAGCAGTGATAAGTGCTATGAAGAAAAATAAAATGGGCCTTGGCCGGTGTGGCTGGGTTGGAGCATCTTCTTGTACATCAAAAGGTGGCAGGTTCAATTCCTGGTCAGGGCACACACCCAGGTTGTGAATTTGACTGCTAGTCGGATGTGTACAGGAGGCAACCAATTGGTGGTTCTCACATCAATGTTTCTCTCCCTTTCTTTAAAATAAAAAAGGAAACCAATAAAATGGGGCAAGAGACTAGAGAATAAAGATATGTGTGTTGGGGATGTGCTAGTTTAGATGGAAAAGGCCTCTGAATATTTGAGCAGCTACCCTAGTGAGTAAGCAATGAAAAAATCTTAAGGGCAAGTGTTCCAGGAAGAGGGCTTGCAAGTGCAAAGCCCTTGAAGTAGAACTTCGTATCTCTGGAACAGGCTACTGTAGCTGGAATGGAGTAAACAGAGTAATGGGAGCAGAAATCGGAGAAGTAGGCTTAGAGGCCTTAGATGGGAATTGAGGTTTTTAAGTGTGAAGCTATTTAGAGGTTACTCAAGAGAGAAGTATCTGAGGGGAGGGTTACCCTGGTTGCTGTGTTAAGACTTTATTTAGCAGACAATAGCACACTATTTGTCTCTCGAACTTTTTAAAAACTTTTTTTAAAACTATGTTTTTATTTATTTCAGAGAGGGAGACAGACACATCAGTGATGAGAGAAAATCATTGATGAGCTGCCCCCTGCATGCCCCCTACTGGGGGTCGAGCCTACAACCCAGACATGTGCCCTGACTGAGAACTGAACTGTGACCTCCTGGTTCATGGGTTGACACTTAACCACTGAGCCACACCAGCCGGGCTGTCGATGGAATTTCATGTCAATAATCCTCAGAACAACCATATGTGGTATAGAAATATCCTCATCTTACACAGGGAAACTGAGGTAATGAAATAAATACCTCACTCAAGGTCTCCAGTGCAGCTAGATCACAGAATTGAAACCCAGGTAGGTTTAACTTCATGTGCTCTGAACCTCACACACAATAGTAGTTAGACAGGAATGGAAGCAGGGATACCAGTAAGAAAGTTGACGGCAGCTTGGGTGAGACTGAGAGCAATGACTTCCTGTAGCAGGAATTCATTTTCCCCAAATCTTGGGATTTTTATAAATAAGGTGATTAATAAGCAAAGTGGAACCATAAAGGGGAGTTAACACAAAGAAATCAGTGAGCATAGCAAAAGGCTTCATATTTGCCAATTAAATATTTGTGCACTATTAATAGACTTTTAGGGAATGGTGCCTATGAGTTTTATATGGAGGCTTCAATGAGAAGCTTTCACTATGTTAAAACCTTAATTTGGACCAAAGGTCATGTCTGAATTTTAATTTTTTTAAAAGTATTGTTTTAAATACTCATTACCAAAAAAGACTACAAGTTAGTTTTCTAAAATGTTCAATGCAGAGCTGCACCAACAATAACAGACTCTTAGTCTTTGGTCCTTTAATCATAAGAAATATTCCAGTAGAGAATTCTCACAAAAGCCTATTTATTAAACCACTGGGAAAGAGAACTTTCTCTTCAGAGCTGTGAATTCCTACAAGGGTAAATTTTCCTTAATTATGAACAATTGCTTTTAGAGGCAAATAGCCATGAAAATAGTTTTCAATACATAATTTTTAAATTGGAAGAAAGAACAAGTGTCCAAAGAATCTGAACCTAGCCCCAAATTTGAGAGAGGTACTGCAGAAAACAATGTCAAAAATGAAGAGAGCAGAATATAAATTACAGAAATAATGCTAAATAGTCTTAGAGACAGGAATATTGTTAACATTGAACACAATCCTATAAAATAGCTTTTCACAGAAATAAACAATATATCACAGTTCTAAATTACAACTGGAATTGAAACAAATGTTGGCTCAGAGCTATTCCTACAATACAGAAAAGGATATGTCAAGAATACATTTAGAACCAGCTAAACATAAAAGTTTGTTAAAGCCCTCGATGCTGGATAATGAAGATGAACTTATGACAACAAAAGTTATTTAAATAACAACAAAAGTTATTTATATTTGGAATTCTTTGCTTCTAAAGAAGAATTTTTATCATCATCTTTATACCATGTGTTTTTTTTTCCTTTGCCACATTTACAAGGTGATGTATGCCTTCCTGAACTATATTTTATAACTAACAAACCTTGCGGTAATCTTTGTAAAAATACCTGTTATGATTAAACTCTGACCTCCACTCATTACATATCATATACCTACGGTATGTTTCTATACTGATACACATTTAATACATGCTAGTTCATATGACCAAAAAATATATTAATGACAAGAGAACACAGATAGTTTAACAATGAGAGAAATATGTACCCTTTCACAAAACTCTTTAATCTAAAAATTAATATAACCATACTTTATGAAGAAAATGTCCAATCGGTAAGATATATCCAAAGATAGAACTGCTTCCTGATAGACCTTACAGGATTACTAGAGTTTATGTTCAGTTACCTGATACCACCTGTAATGTCATTTATTTGCAAAGAATATTAATCTATATAGAAAACTGGAAGACCTAAATCTTGAAATTTTGAAGACTTACTGGAGACTCAATTTATAAAACCATATCAAACTCCCTTCTTTTGGCAAGTAAAAATATTATAAGTATCTTCTGTTTATTAATGTAATTATTATTGGCAATGTTTAAAATTTCCTGTGACACCTTGGAGGAGGGGAAATGAGGAAAGTAATCAAATGTGGATACACCCATCGTTACTGTATGGATCTTAGTCAAATAAATAAAAGTGGCAAACTGGGACTGAAACTAAGTTTCTGTCTCTAATGCTCCAGCTTTTTACTGCTTTTTCCATTTTATTTCCAAGTATGTTATATATACACTACTGTTTGCACTCTATAGAGGCTCAAATGTATAAATCTGTACAGATCAAAGAACATTTGTACTGGTTCTCCTTGTAGCTAAGCTAATAGGTCTTAGGAATGGTAACTGAGAACACAGTTTTAGGCACATGTAAAGCATTAGGTTCTATGATGCCATCCCTATAAAGCATAGCTATCCAATACTAAGAAGAATTCTAGGGGTTGAAGAGTTATTGGTCCCAAATAACTTGATTCCCTAATCAACCCAGTCACTATAAATCACAGTAAAGATAAATGTATAGCTGTAGCTTTAAAGTACAGAAAACTTATTTTTATTGGTTAAGAGGATGACTACAGCAGTCTCTCTCCATTCCTTTTTTTTTTTTAGTTTTTTACTTTTCTTTGTATTATTCTTTTGAATCTTAAAGTTTCATATATTTCTTTGGCTTCCCTTCTCAGGGATTTTGCTGAAATGGATTTGATTTACTTAAAATCAACTTGTTTCATTAACTTTTTGAATGCATGGTAATAAAGTAATAGTAGAGCTCAACTGACTAAAATTATCTACTTTAGTGATTAACAAAAATAAATATTCACTAATTGATTTTCCTATTTAAGAGACGAAAAATAAATTTGAGCATATGTTAATTATATCTGTGCAAGCAGGAATGCAATTTTCATCCTACCTGAAATTTTCATCCTACCTGAAATCGCATGCCGTAGTAACCTCGGCTCCTCCACCCAATGCCCAACCTTGAACCAGTGCGACACTTATCAAAGGAAGTCTGTATATTGAAGGAAAAATGTATGTTAACATTTTAAATTTCAATATTAATCTACAAACATTATCGAAAACGAGATGCAATAGAAACAAAATTATTGAACTATGTTTATAATAAATAAGAAACAAATCTCAAAGGATACTCCGTGCATTATGAGGAGCAAATCAGTATAATACTGAAGATATTTATACGATTCATACAAAATGCCATATACGTTTATCAAAATACCTCTCTGAATCATTTTTTATTTTAAAACCAGAGTCAGATTCTAACTTTACTCCAAAAAAATGGGTGATTTTGGACAATATACAGCTCCTGGCACTTCTCAACTACTTACTGGCAATCAGGAATAATTCCATGTGATATTGCCTTATTTCGTTTTTATTGGTATCAGGTTATAGATGGAAAAGTTAGGACTGTATCCAAAGGGAGGAAATGTGGTACAGAAGAATGAGCTCCAAAACTGTAGTTATAAAGGTTCCTGTCTTTTCACTACTCACTGAGATGATCCAGAGACAAGTCCTGTATAAAGAAATGGTTCTGTAGTACCAGTAAAAAATCTCTTCCTGTTTGCAAAGATCCACTTTGCAGTGCAAGACTGTATCAGCATAAAAGGTAAATCTAAAATGTTTTGAAAGTATGGATTTTTTTTGTAGGTTCTAATTGAAATGCATAGCTGTAAAGTACAGTAACTGAAAATTTCTTAATATACTTCTCTCAATTAAAAATAATTATTGAGGCCCTAGCCAGTTTGGCTCAGTGGATAGAGCACTGGCCTGCATACTCATTGAAGGGTCCCAGGTTCAATTCTGGTCCAGGGCACATGCGGACTCGATCTCCAGTAGTGGGCGTGCAGGAGGCAGCCAAACAATGATTCTCTCTCATTGATGTTTCTATCTCTCTCCTTTCTCCCTTCCTCTCTGAAATCAATACAATAATATTATTTTTTTTAAAAAAAAACTTTAAGAAACAAAGCCAAATATAATAGAAAGAGGTGAACAGGAGCCAATACAATGAAAAAAGTATTTTAGAATAGTAATGTTATGATTCCATTGTTCTTCTTAGACTCTCACATACAAAGAACAACAAAAGTACAGTGTTGTCCAATTCATTAATATACTAAATAAATGGGAATTTCCTTAGTTTTTATAGTTTTTAAGTTGTTTCCAGTTGGAATATAGAAGTAGAAAGCTCATCAGCCCAAACATGTCATTGTTTATAATCCCAAATGCAAAGTGAATCCATCTTCCTCACCAACCTGTAGTTCTTTTTCTCCAATCGGTAGCTCTTTTTCTCTCCTCAGGATATGGACCACTTCACTATACATTCTACTAATTTTGTTTAGGTAATCTTTATGTGTCCTCTCCTGATCATGTCTTTATTCTGCTCTGATATCAGTATTTTAACTTTCCCATGTCTATACCTAAATATATACAGCTAGTAATATAATCTCTTCATGGGAAAGTACTATATTTTAAATTCTTTTTATCTCTCGTGTCTCTTATTTTTAAATACTTGTGTATATTTCACTAACATTTAATTAAATGGCACAAATAGTTCATCATTAGAATAAATATAATTTGATAATCAGCTATTTTTTACTGGTACAACAGAATAATAAAAACCTATTTTTGTTTTATTAGTAATCATATTTGAAAAAGAAAAATACATTACCTCATCAATCTTGTTAAGGTGTTTTGCATGAACATACATAAGGCCACTCCATCCTTTAAATAAAAATAACCATATACACAAAGGTATAATGCAAATGTATAAGAATTAAAAAACAAACAAACATATTTTCAGGGTTTAGAAAGAAATAAAGCCAATAATACACCTAACTTTTTTTTAAAATGATGTTTTCATTTAAAACTCTCTGAATGAGGCATTGCTGTCTGAAATGCAAATGATGCAGTTTGGGATTTTATTGATGTTCTAGGACTCCTGGGGCTCAGCTTTGAATGAGGCATTAGCAAAGACTTAGAGGTGAGAGTTAGATCACACACCCCTGACAAGTATGGGTTCTACTCGAGTAATATGGGGGGAAGAGACATAACATACCCCATCCATTACCCCAGACTCAGATCCTCTAAAACAGGTTCTCAACCTGTGGGTCGCGACCCCTTTGGGGGTCGAACGACCCTTTCACAGGGGACGCCTAAGACCATCGGAAAACACATATTGAATATATAATTACATATTGTTTTTGTGATTAATCACTATGCTTTAATTATGTTCAATTTGTAACAATGAAAATACATCCTGCATATCAGATATTTACATTATGATTCATAACAGTAGCAAAATTACAGTTATGAAGTAGCAACGAAAATAATTTTATGGTTGGGGGTCACCACAACATGAGGAACTGTATTAAAGGGTCGCGGCATTAGGAAGGTTGAGAACCACTGCTCTAAAAGTATACAGCCTACATTTACAATTTAATGGCAACAAATACATTTTTTTCCTTTTTCATTTCTCTCATGTTTTGTTATTTGTGTTTTTTGTTGTTATTGTGGTTTGGGGCCTAGGGGATGTGTAGAAGCCTGAATTCAAGAAAAAGAAGTTCCTTGGAGGACTGATAATGGAAGATGATTAGGATTCTTTTTCTATCCGAGTAATAATTCAAAGCAAAACTTTAAATTGTTATCATTTGTTGAAGCTTGCTATGTACCAAAGTACCAAAGCTGTTAGATTCTTTATAGTATACCTCATATAAATTCCTTATCAGGAGATGCTAAGGGGCTTCCACTTAAAATTCAAGTTCTTGCTGTATTCAATAATGTACTTTGATTATTGCTAATCTCCTCGTTCTTCCTCCCCGCCCGCCGCCTCCCCCAATACTTAACAATATTGCAACCTAATCTTGAAGAAGCAAAACAAAAACCCTGATCCTTGGAAAGCTATTAAAGAGTAGCTGTCATCATAACCATGTAAGTAAAATATAAATAGCTCAGCCATAGCTGTCTGGTAAACATGTAGAGCCCAGTATGTAATTCATATATACTTGCCTCTGGAGTTCCTAGGGCTTTCACAGCATTCAAATCAGATCCAGAGGAGAATGTATTTTTTGCCCCACGAACAATGAGACCTTTCCCCTCTGTCCAATTTTCCAATTCGGTCACTTTTTCCAAAAGTTGTAGCATCATAACACCTGCCAGAGAGGGGAGGGGGAATCATAAACAGCTAAGATACGGGAGAAACAGGAATAATTTAGAAGCCATAAGGCTTCAAACAAGACTCTTATGTCATATATTATACAAATATTTACTGAATGTCAAATACCTATTGTGTTGGTACTATAACGTACATACAAAAGAGGTATACATAACAGTCCCTGGTTTAAAAGCTTAGTGATCTTTTGCATAACATCATGGTAGCACAATTCGAATTTGAGCTTTGGCCAAAAATTACAAATTAACATGTATCCTGAACCTTCAGGTCTCTTAAATATAAAATTTTTATATTCCAAGAGTGCTGCCTAGCAAATAGAAGGTATTTACCAGTATCCGAGTTAGGAAATGAGAAACAAATAGATAGGCAAGTGCAGTGTTTTCATTGATTGAAATTACATGTTTAACATCTGTCTTATTTCAATTCACAAAAAGGAAAATTTAAGCTAAATAGTAATTTCTTTTTTCATTTATAGGTTTTTCTCTTTAGTTGTTAAAAATCTTTGAAACCACCTTTCCTTTGTCTCCCAGTAACATTAGCTGAACACAAACAAATGAAGTTAGTAAGCAGTTAATAAATTTCAATGGAAAAATAATCAAGATTAATTTGATATTTTCCTTTTCATCAGCATCTGTATTCCCAGGTTTTTAAAAAAGAAAACCATTAAAACTTCCACCATGAGTAAAAATGTTCCCGGTGCATATGATAGTTTTGTTTTGTTTCCATGTTCTACAAAGGGTTCCATGACTTTCACGAATTATGTCACCAAAGTAAGGATAAGAGTCATGTAATAGCAGGTTAGAACTGGTGTCACTTTTTAACAAGCCTAAGAAAGCTCTCTTTACCTGAGAAGGCATTCCTTTTACTGGGATTGTTCAGAGTAAGAATGCCAATGCCATTGTCTTCCTTCTGAAGGTCAATGGATCCACCAGGAAACTGCTGAAGTTTTTTTTTTACTTCCTCCTCATGGAAGCCATGAGATGTATTATAAAGTGACACTCCCGTCTGATGGAGCAATTTTGTCCTTAGAGACATAGATGATGTCTTCAAAAGACTTGCTGCCATTTCTGGAAAAGAGACATAAGCATACAACAGTGCAGATGAACAGACACTGTGGTACTAGTTTTTTGTTAATAGGCCTTTCTGTTTAATTGGGAGGACTTTCCCACTTCTAAAAGCACTTTTTGAAGAAAGATGGTCAGTATGGAATTCCTTTCCTTTCTCCCCTTTCTCAAACCACATAATTCACAAAGTATATTATTTCAGTATATCAGAGATATGATGACATAGTTACAGTGCATTTACTAGGATCTAATACACTAGGAAAGTTTAGAAGAATGTTGCTGTCCCGTATTTAGCATCATCTCCTGACTCCAGGTAGTTTTTCTCATGACAGTTGTTCTTTTTCCAACTCTTTAACTTTTCCAAAATTTAAGAAGAAATTCAATCCAAATGTCCACTTAGAAATAGTCTTAATGCAAAAATGTTTTAAGAACAATCCTGTTCTCTAACAGAAATTTTATTCTTAGCGTTATCCTTACTTTATGTAATGTTTTCATAGAAAAAGCTGGAAGGGGTCCTGAGGAAAATGGGGAAAGAAATAGGGATGTATGTGTCTGTGGTTTCTGTATTCCCCAGGGTTTTGTCACTCTTCTCTTCTCTTGGGTAATCCCAACTCTGCCCACAGGCTTTTCTTATGTAAGCATTGTTGTTGACATAAAACATACTAGTACATTCAGAAAAGTACACAGCTTAATGAGCTACATTTAAGTAAAGAACAGCATTGAACACATTTAAGCCAATAATAGCACTCAGTAGATAACATGAATCTCAGGTTTGTTATGCCACCTTTCAATCACCGCTCCAAATAAGAATAACAACTATCTTGACTTCTAATATCCAAGACTGTTGGCCTGCTTTGAACTTTATATAAATTAAATAATATATTCTTTTGTGTCTGATTTCCACTATGTTTGTGACATCCATTATTGCTATTATGTGTACTTAGAGTCAAAAGGTCCTCTCTATCTCTCTCCAGTATGTCCAAGCTTGTTTTTACCTGGAGTATGCTTTATGCATGTTTTGCCCCTGGGGATATGTCAGATATACAAAAGACAACTCATCAGAAAACTAAATTGGAGCAGAGGTCTTGATCTTTTCCACAATACTTCAATATAAAAGAAATGTGCCAAAGAAACCTGATAAGAACTTGGGTGGCTATTTTTTTTTTAATATATTTTATTGATTTTTTACAGAGAGGAAGGGAGAGAGATAGAGAGTCAGAAACATCGATGAGAGAGAAACATCGATCAGCCGCCTCCTGCACATCCCCCACCGGGGATGTGCCCGCAACCCAGGTACATGTCCTTGACCGGAATCGAACCTGGGACCTTTCAGTCCACAGGCCGACGCTCTATCCACTGAGCCAAACCGGTTTCGGCAAGGGTGGCTATTTTTAAAAAATAAATTTGCCTATATTCTGTTTGGGGAAAAGAACAAAGAATTAAATAAGAAAATAATGAAGTATGATTCATAAAATCATTAGCATTTTAAATTATTATTGTGATATAATGGAATTAATAAATAGTATATCTTCTCTTTCACGAATTATGTCACCAAAGTAAGGATAAGAGTCATGTAATTACCCTCTTTCCAATCCAATAATACAAAGACAACTGGTACAGATGCCATCAGATCTATTTCTCTTTATCCTTAAATCATTATAATTTAAAAGATTTATGTAACTAATATTATACCTCATCAGACATCTTTGATATGCTGATTTTCCCAAGGAAACATAAATACTTCCTGTAGCCTTCTCTCTATTAATTCCACATGTTCTCTCTTCTCTCCCCCGCCCCCAATTCCTGCCTCTTCCACTAACTCTCGCTTCTTTTCTCTCCTCATATTCCCTTGTCTGTGCCACAAAATAGTACCATGAAAACTCAAGAGACCTGCCTACCAGGTTGCTGACCTCTGTTTGGAAATCCAATTCTAGAAATCTGATCATAGCCAATATGTACAATTTCATCGCAATTCTAATTTCAGAGACAAAGACTTCAGTGCTGAGGAGATGACAAGGTGTTAGCTACTATTAAGCTACTATGGTACCTGAAAGTACAAGTGAAGGAACAAGGGTTGAGATTCAAGTTTTGCATAAACATGTAGTTGAGCATCAGCATTGTGGGCTAGTTCTAGAATCGTAAAACAATGAACAGGTTCTAGGGCATTTACAACTCGATACACTTTCTTCAGGGCAAAGTGAAAGTTTAACACTTGCCATGCAGAATGCTTTGCTTAGGGAAAGGGAAGGAGAAGGGAGCCCACAGACATCTGAGATCAAAGGTGTCACTTTCTTCCTTTTTCACAGTGCTGCACGGGTGACAAGAGTTCCCCTCTCTGCACAGGGAAGCTAGCTGTTCTCTTAAAACCCATTTTACACATCCTGAAATTTAATAAACCAAAAAATTAACACAAATGCATACTCAACAAGAAAACAATTAGCCTAAGGTAGGTAGTAAACAAAAAAAAATCAGAAGTTGTGTTTCAGTCAATATATGACGTGTTTTCAAGTCCGGATTTGGTTTTAGGCTGTCATTCTATATTGTACCATGCAAGTTTCATTACATGCCACACACACCCTTTTCATCACACGGCCAAATTAACCTGCTTCAGTTTCTCAAATCCTTTAGGTTTTCTCTTCACTCCAAGCCTCTGTCAATGTGATTCTTACCTGTTACACTGTTCTCTTCCTCAGAGTAACTTCAGATCACCTCCTTTAGGACTCTAGACTACATCAAGTACTCTAAATGTCTGTTTTCATTTATATTCTTTATGAATACTCACTCACTCTCCCATAATTAACCAAATCTTCCCATTAGGAAGTCATTTGCATGTTTAGAACCGTGCTTGACAAAATGGTATCTGTCAATAATACTTTGGCATACAAGGCTTAAGAATCCATAACGCCATAGGAGGCTTAAAAATCTGTCCACAAAAGCTCTAGCCGGTTTGGCTCAGTGGACAGAGCGCCGGCCTGCAAACTGAAGGGTCCTGGACCCGATTCCTGTGAAAGGCATATACCTCGGTTCCAGGCTCAATCCCCTTGCAGGAGGCAATCAATTGTTGTGTCTCTCTCACATCGATGTTTCTCTTGTCTCTCCCCCTCCCTTTCACTTTCTCTAAAAATCAATGGAAAAATATCCTCGTGTGAGGATTAACAAAAACAAACAAACCACAAAAACAAAAAAATCTGTCCACCAACCAACTCTCCATCTACCCTGTTTATTATTCGCACCACTCACCCTGCTGGGACTCCATTCCTCTTTGCCAGCTGGTTTCTCCTATGGGAACGATGATCACTGCCTGTGCTCCACCTGACTGTATGCACTCAGCTTTCAAGTCAGACAAGAAAAACGTCAACAAAAGGTCAGCTGCTTGATCTGGTGACTATGTTCCTTCCTCCTCCAGCAGATGTCACAATTTGTATCTTTCCCCCAAAACTTACTTCTTCCAAGAGAGTTACAGGTCTCCACAGATCATATCCATTGACCTCGATCCCTCTAGCACCTAGAGCATGAGCTGGTCAACAGCAGGCTCTCAGATGTGGAAGTGAGGGACAAGGGGGGGAGAAGAGTCCATGGAGATTTCCTCTCAAAGCCCTTATCAGTCTTTTCAGCATGTAAGTCCTTTAGGTCATCTGTGGTTCTGATCCCCTACATGTGTGACCGTGTGTGTAGCGATAAAAGGATTATTGAAGCTCAAAAATATTCTACAACACATTCCAAACATAAGGTGAACAGCTTTGGTCGTTCTTACGGTTGGAAACCTGGCTGCACGAAGCACGTTATGTAGTTTCAGTGAAGCGAGATAACTGAACAGCGAGGCAGTGAGAAGGGCACTCGTCCAGGCCCTCGGGAACCTTACCTGGCCCGGACTGCACACCCGCAAACAAAGGCAGAGCTCCCTGCCATCCCGGCGTTCCCTGCCGCCAAATCCCCGCACGCCAAGCCAACCCGGGGCCTTCCCGACCTACACAAGGCTGCCTGTGTGGCCCCAGCCAACCCGATGTTTCCTCTCTCTCACTTTTTCTTTGTTCTTTGTCCTGTAAAAGCTTTGGGCCCTCCACCCTACTGTGCGATCCTCGGACACACTACGCTTCGTGACCGTCTGAAAAGAGAAACATCTGTTTGCATCAGCTGGATGTCCTTTCGTTATTCATCATAACACTACTCGGCACAGGGCCTGGAAGGTATTCCTAGTTTAAATCCGTGCGTTGAAATACTGCCTCCCGATTCGGCTATTTCCCCACGTTCTCAAGCAAGTTTTTCCCTCCGGCGCTCTCACCTGGCCACGTCCGGCGGCGGCGCTGGGCACTGCGTCCGCCCGCCCAGCAGAGGGCAGTGGACCGCGCGGCGGCCCCGCGGGTACCGCGCCGCCGGGGCCCGGCGGGGCCCGGAATGCAATTCGTGTGGATAAACGCTGAAGTCCATTACACAGCCACATGCTAGGGCTCTTTCCTAGCCGACACCTAAAATGCAGCCCGTCCGGCCAACTCTTGGGAGGCGCCTGGCACTGACTTTCCCTCCCGCTCCCCCTCGCCCCTCTTCCGCTTTCACGCGCCCCTCTTCCGCTCCCACGTGCCCCTCTTCCGCTTTCACGCGCCCTCTTCCGCCCTTCAGCACCCGCCCTCCGCCCCCGCAAGGCCACCGGCGCCCTTCCTGGTGTCCCCAGCGAACCGGGCCGGGGACTCCTATTGTACGTGCTTCCCGTTCTCGGTTCTGCGACGGAGGGTTAAGCTGGTGCAGGAGAGGAGCTGCCAAACCCCGTTTATTTTCGGATTCCGACGTTGGCTTCGGAAACAGGCAACTGAGAAAGGCTGGGGCCAGCTCGCGTGGCCAAGCGAGAAGACCCACAGTGTCCCTGATGGCAGTGAACCTGCGTAGCTGATATGAGCACCCAGAAGATTTGCAGAGATTGCCTGTGCCCTGAAGTGTGGAGGCAGAAAGCGGGGAGAGCCCTGGCTGGTTTGGCTCAGTGGGTAGAGCCTTGGCCTTCGGACTGAAGGATCCCTGTTTCCTCTCTCTCACTTTTTCTTTGTTCTTTGTCCTGTAAAAGCTTTGGGCCCTCCACCCTACTGTGCGATCCTCGGACACACTACGCTTCGTGACTGTCTGAAAAGAGAAACATCTGTTTGCATCAGCTGGATGTCCTTTCGTTATTTATCATAACACTAGTCGGCACAGGGCCTGGAAGGTATTCCTAGACAAGGGCACATGCCCTGGTTGCGAGCTCCATCCCCAGTAGGGGGCGTGCAGAAGGAAGCCAATCAGTGATGCGCTCTCATCATTGATGTTTCTATCTCACCCTCGCTCTTCCTCTCTGAAATCAATAAAAATATATTTTTTAAAAAAAGAAAGAAAGAAAGCTGGGAGAGTCCTTGCACATGGGTTGCATTAATGTCAGCAGTAGCTATGAATTTCTCTCAGGGACTAGATTGCCTGCCTTTGTAGGATTATGTAAACCTTTCAGAATTTTGCCACAACATTAGGACAAGGAGGAACAACCCTTAAAATCTGGGGATAAAATTGCCCACCATCCAAGCAGAACTGAGGGGCCAGAATAGAAGTGAAAATGGTTGAAAGAAAAGAACATCACCTTGCTTGTGTGAACAAAAAGGGGCCACATGCTAACCTAACTCAAGGAAGGCCTGCTGATGGCCTTGCAAGCTCAAGAGACCTAAAGTACCACAAAGGGTGGTCTGAAATTAAAACCTCATTAAAAAGCAATTTATAGTGGGTAGTCATGTCCTAGGCCAGTATCTTCCCTGACAAAGATCAACTTTGATCTTTACTTGTGCCTATTGTCCTTTTGCATCTAAGATAACATATCTGTGGAATGTCAGGGTAACTTGTAACCTACCCCTTTCCTCCCGGACCCCTCAGACACAACGAATGGCACCAGAGCAAAGATCACAAATTCCCTCATTGTTAGTTATCTTGTTAATTGCTGACTGTTAACTATTCTGTACCCACCTATATAAAAGAAGTATGTGTAGATCATTTTACTTTTTATCCAATCCCAGAGGTTTCCCCACTTTACTTCCTCCCACCTCCCTAATCTATCACCAATGTATTTCATGGAACCCACTGACATCTCCTTTGATTGTTATGTATAAAACAAGGTGGAAAACGTCCATTCTCCGAAACATTATCCCAATATGTAGAGATTCTGCTGCCCAGCAATTGTCGAGAGGTTGGCTCAAATAAACTCAATAAGTGAACTTACACGAGAGACCTTGACTGCATTGTGAAAAGCCCATTTATTAATGCAATTAAAGCATGCACCTTTATTGAAAAAGCAAAGCAAGCAAATCTATCTTATTTCATCCAGCTTGGAGGGCAGATGGGCTTTCCCGGCAAATCCGGAAAAGCCAATGCCTGGAGCAGGTTCCAGGAGTAATATACCCTCCTGCCTATAGGTTTCAAAGATTCTTTCGCCGAATATCTGGGTATAGATTAAGTCTCAAGTTCTCTTTGTTGTGGTCTTCCCAGAATTCTGGCAACTTTATCTTGCCAAGCCCCAAGACTGCTGACTTCTCCGTTAGGGAGTGAAAACTATCATTTTTTCCTTTTCTCTTTCCCCCTCCCTTTCTTCATCCTCTCCTTAGCGAGGTCTTTAACTATTTGCTCTCAAGGTCCCTCGCTGGGAGAGATAGTGGCTCGTTATTCAGCTGCAAATTGCTCGCACTGTTTGGCCTTGTTTTAATTTTCCTGTCTCTGTTTTCCCCTATTCCTCCTGCCCTAGAATCCTGTAACAAGACGGATTGAAATGAAGTGAAGATCAAAGTTTGGGAAATCTGGAACTTGAGAAATGATGAGGCCAGGCTTTCTGATGATGATATATGAAAAAGATAATTATCAACCTTGTATTAAAGTTACGAAAGAAAATGATGTGGGAGGGATGTTTTGTAACAACTGGGAGACGCTGCCATAAAGACTTGGAAAGAATAACATAAAATTTTCAAAATTATGTTTCATCTTCAAAATTATTTTGATATTTGACACAGAAATATAATTTGTCTTATTTTGTGTTACCCACAACCTCAGTCTTTCTGGTCCCCACAGAAGGAACTCACCCGAGAATAAGCTCTTCTTTAGTGTTAGCCATTATGTTAAGATTTGCTTCTCTGAATGACAACTTTTGGGATTTTATAGTCAGCTCCCAGTCACTAGAATTAGACCGTCTGTCACCTAAGGAATGCAGTTGAGCATGACTACTCATCCAGTGAGCACTGTTTCCATAAAGCATTTGTTCAAAATGAAAACATTAGGCTCAATCTTTCATCTATGAAGAAAGGCATGCTGGGAAGCAGTCTTTAAATTTTGAACTCTACCTATCAGCAATCTAATTATTTCAGAATTACCAGTTAAGCAATCAATTACTAAACGGCATTTCAATGTGACTTCAGGACAGGGTGCCCTGTCCTATGACACCGATGATCTAGCAGGGAATAAGATTTCCATTAGGAAGTGGAGGTGACAAACATTGAACAAATAGTCACAAATGTGATTTCTGTTGAGAAAGAAGAAATGGAGATTTTTTTTTCTTTTCTACATAACTTTTTAGTTTATTCTAATTGGCAAGAAATAGGTGAACAGAGAGATTAGGATGACAAAACAAATTATTTTCCTGTCAACATCTACCTGAATTCCAAATGAATAAACATCACAGTTTTACTTAATGATTTATAAATATAATTAAAAATGTTTATTGAGCACCTAGTATGTATCCAAATGGTTAACATGCATGAACTCTAATTGGTGGTAGTACAAAGTGGGCATTGCTGTTTTCTGTGCAAATGAGTTTAAGGCCTCACTCCCCCACCTCCAACCAGCTTTCCACCCCTGAGTATCTACCATATAGAAATCCTGTGGCAAACTCAAGGCAGGTACTATGAACTTCATTTTATAGATGAGGAAACAGGTTAATTGAATAAATTACCAAAGCCTCACAGCTTATAAATACAAAATATATCATCTGAACCCAAATCTTGTAGGGATTTTTTTTTTCTTTACAGTGCTTCAATAATGGTTACTTTTCTTCTTTGTATCTCTACTGATTACTCAGCCATATTAAAAAAGAAAATCCCTTCTCCATTGGGTTTCTTATATCATATTTAGAGCTTACTCCACTTTTTTCTTTATTCGGATTTATGTCTGAGTATTCTAAGACTGCCAGCGAACATTTCTGACTGTGTGGCTAGATAGCCTGGCTCCGTGGTCGGCAAAC